GAGGTTGAGCAGTGATGCAGACTTGCTCTCCATGCTTGCAATCATGTTGTGAGACGCGCGCAGTGCGGATGGCAAGAGGTGTAATTTTCTGTAAGCCAATTAAATGAGAGGAAAGGAATGACGTAGGAGTCGTCTGTGCAAACGTACGATTTTCTGCTTTCCCCTTTCATTTATCTTCTTGCTTTCACGTCGTCAATACGTTCACCAAGAGAGCTAACCACGTTAATTGTTTTAATGGGTTTTTTTTACCTCCCTTGATTTTCTCTCTATTTCTTTGTATTTAGGGCTTTTACGGACATGACGAATTACGGAAATGTCAAACACTATTTCCAGTCACCGACGAATTCGAGTTAGCCGTGTTTGACTGTATCTATCTATTTTTATCCATAGCCAATCCTCAAAGACTGTTGACAGTATTAGACAGCTGGTCTTTCGACACAATTTCCAACGGCTTTATTGGTGTAGACACATTTTTCACACTGGGGTGAGTGTAGCAGTGTACCGAATGTGAACATCTTTAACAGTGTTACTCAAGGATATTAGTCAACTCTCTTTTTGACTTTGTTTGATTTTGTTTTGCTTTATTGGGTTTGTTGTTACTAGGGAATGTTTTTGTTTATGTTTGGTTATTTGTTATTGTTGTTGCTGCTGCTGTTGTTGTTGTTGTTGTTGTTGTTGTTGTTGTTGTTGTTGTTGTCATTGTTGCTGCTGCTGTTGTTTTTGTTGATGATATTGTTGTTGTTGTGTTTTTGTCCTTGAACCCACGGCCAAGATCATTTTGAAGTGACATAACAAACATAAGGAGTCAGCATGCGGTCCTGTAAATAATATGTAATAAACCGTGAGCCTATCTTTGATGTCTTTCCTCCTTTTTCAAACAGCAGAATTTGTGTCGTTTGAGGTTCTTTTCGCGAAATAACTTTTTGTTCTTTTTACGAAATAACCCTTTTTTTTCAAGACAGCAATTGCAATACTTAGAGCATAACTCCATTCACATTTTATTCTTCTCTGCCTCAGCCTTCCCTCCTCTCCACCGAAAATATTTTACCGATTAGGTAGTCGCTTCGTAGTCCCACACATACGGCGTTAGTTCGATTCTCGTGAGGGGAAATGTTGTTTTATTAATATCTTGTATCTCTGTCTGTCTGCTAGGACGTTGTATCTATCTCAGCCCACGATGACCCTACCGATAGGCAGGGTCGAAATAGCTCGCTTCCTAAATTTATTTTAAAAATTTTTTATTGACGCCGAAGGGAAATTTGGTTTACAATCGCATACATACATACATAAATGCATCAATATTACGTGTATATTGTAAATTCATACATGCATAAATACATACACACACACACACACACACA